GCATTACCTGTTTCCACCTCTCACGACGAGGACGTAGGGTTGGACTTTGAGAGGATAATAAAGTAAGAATAAGAATTAAAGAAAAATAATCAGTTACTACTTCATTACATGAGTATTAAAAATAAAAAAGTGGCTTGAGAATTGAGGTTACCAATTTCTAGCGGTTAGAGCTTTTTAAAGAAGGAAACACTTAAGTTAACCTCTTATTCAGTGCTCTGATCAGTGTGTATGTATCGGAATGTAAACAGTTTCATTTCACATCACTCATGATGATTTGATTGTGTTTCGTGCTCAAATCTTTTATTGCACTCTAGTCGAATGGCATGTACACAAGATCATGTGACTTCTAACGAATACATTAGCATATCTGACATAATTAAGCGAGCATACATTAGTCACGTAACAGATTGTATGCAGAGCATGTCAAGTTATAGGAATTAGCCATGGCAAAGATAAAAATTCATCTGAAAACCAAAAGTGCTTCAACAGACTATATCAGCATCTGTCAATAATTTGAAGATCTTTCAAAACACTCAAAAGTTTCAAGTCTGGCAACAACCCAAATATTTTATTCCCATTATAACCTTGCTTATTTGACAGTAGAAAATCAAAGTCAATAAGAATTTAACTATAAAAGTTTTGAAACAAAACAAACAGCAGTTTTATTGTATACTAATTAGTGCATGCCTGTTCAGCCATCCTTCCATTACAGCGATAACTGTCAGTGGCTTTACAACAATCCACAGCAGTTCAACATCAATGGAAGAATTTGAATATAATCGGTTTGATCTTTTCCATTTAACTGGATCTAGGGTAAGCTTCTTCCCAGCCCTATAGTTACATTTGGTCCATATAATTCCTGTGGTAAAAAGAAAAGCCGCACAATATGTATGGCAAAATTTTTTATTGAAGGTCGACCTTAACTGCAGTGAAGGAGAGTATCCTTTGAAGTTTCCTCCTCTGATGGCGGACAGTTAAGTGGTGAAGTTTTCATCATTAAATTTCATTTAAGGATACTGGAATGTGAGTGGCATCCTGCAGCACTGAACAAACAGATGCAAAGGCATATGTTTAATTAGTTCCATTGGTTTTAATCATATGTGGAGAAACTTGGCTTGACATATAAATTTTTCCAGGTTTTTTTTGGTTATTAACTTGGGCTGTATTAAATATTGAAATTAACTACCAAGTCTCTTTTTCGATCATACATGTATGTGTAGAAATAATAGTGCCATCAAGTTCAATGTTATGTTGGTGGAAATTAAGTGACACTTAGTTTAGATACTGCACCATAATGGAAGAAAGGTTATATAACCTACATCTTATTCTAGAGAAATTGTTTGAGCTCTGGACTGATTTTTCCACCAGCAACACTTTGCTTAATGGCTTTCATGACATCATTTGAGCAAATCTCACACCCTTCGTTATCAACAGTTGACTTTGAAAATCCACAATAGCAAAACCTGTGGTCACAATCTCAAACTCTCCTAGGAATGTAAGAATTACTGACATTCCTCTTCTTGATGCAATAAGCAATGCTGTTGGGGTCCCTTTCTCTCAGGCACACCATGTGGACAAATTTGTGTCTGAACACTGTCCACCACTTTAAGCTCTTTGGCATTGCATTTGTTTCCCACATACTAAGCCAGCTTAACATGCTTTGCCTCTCTACCCTGCATTGAGGCCCAATTCGTAGCCAAGCCTCAGACGTTAAACTTCCTGGTGTAATAAGGGATATTGTGTCCAACTGTCCTCACAGTAGAAGAGACATCCTTAAACAACAAACAGTTGGCATTGAAAAAGTGTTGGCATGAGTTCTTTAGCTTTTCCACTTGCTCAATGCCCACCCCGACTCTTGAGTAAATAGAAACTGTATCTCTGAATTTGACTGCAACAAATGCCAGAATGTGATGTTTCACAACTGACCCCTTTAAAAGAGATTTGATCTACAGAAGTTCCTGTATCAAAGAGGCAAAATACCAAGAAGAGTACTTTGATTCAAGTCCTGTGAGTCCATATGAGAATGTAATACCTTTCTTTTGCTTCTCGCTGAACCACCGAAGAAAGGCCTTGTGTAATCTCCCACACCTGACGTTGTCTTTCAGGCACTTCAAAACTGCAAGCAAAGGGGAACTGTCTGGAAGATCAGAGACTGTTGTTGCTGCCTTGAGGTGACTCTGGTTTGTGTACTGTTTGTTGTACTATTACAACAGAGAGTGCAGCTGAAACCCAGTTCTGCCAAGCATTGTTTGTGCTATGTAGAGGCTCCACCTTGAGTAAATCAACATACTTCCCTGACAGAGGAACAAATTCTTGTCTCAACTTGTTTTGAGCAATAAATTTGGTAATATGACTTCTTTGTTTGCCCATGGGATCTTTAAGTCTTTTCTTTGACTTTTCTACTTTCTCTGCAGTGGCCAGTCTGTCAGTGTACTGTCATGGTTACCATGTTGCTTTAGGGCCACCAATAAAACCACCAATGGCTCCCTTGTGTGTTTGATTAACATTGGCAAAAGGTGAAAAGTAGGTTGCACAATTGTTTAGTTCTCGTGATTGGTATGATATTCATTTCATGTTGGATTTTTTTTTT